TTTTTGCATTAATTGATCATTTATAGTCACCATTATATTTAATACTTTTCTTCTTAAGATATATTTTTGGCATTGGTACCACTAAATCTGTGTCGCAATTTCTAAGATTGTAAGGGATGCGACAGTTACTCTTTCATAAAAAACTACGTCCCCTCCCCCTCCCTCTTCTCCCACCCTGCTACAACACTGCATCCCGTTCCCCCTGCTGTAATAATGAGTGCTCGCTGCATTCCCATTATGACCCACCTTTCTTGACACAACTATATCCGCAATTTCCATCACAGAGACATTCTTTCTTGGTATCGCTGCAACCTAATGACGGCTGACATTCATCAACGCATTCACTTCCAGTCTTCTTGTTGGTTCGCGGACAAAAACTGCCTACAGAAAAACAGAACACGCTTAAAATTGTCATAACTTATATGTTTTATGGAAGGTACCATACCAGGGGTTATCCCAAGGTCTCCCATTTTCCAAAATGGGTAGTTCTAATATAAAATGGCTAGTTCTAAAACTTAAAATGGGCGGTTCTAAAATTGAGTTTTCGAGTAAAAATTAGTTCTAAATGAAGCGCCCATACAGATATTTATTAGGCAAAACCAAAACCCAAATGTCACACTGAAAATGCAGGGAATTGCCATTCTGGACTTTTCTAGGAGAGCATGCCTGCCAGCTATTCAGGTATCCAATACGCCATGACCTCGTCTCTCGTTACTGCCACACAGCCTGTGTTCACCATCTCACAGTCTGCTATAGTCTAAATAGGCCGTTTTAAACTTTTAAATTTTTCTTAGGATGATCCCTGTACCATACCTAGGTCTTATTCATATGAGCCACGAGCTTGGTTTGCTGCTCACCTGTGGAATGTGTGGAATCATGAATTATTCCTATGTTCATGCGACTGTTTGTATCCCACCTAATATCCCGCCTCGGTGGGACGATATTTACTTAAACTAGCTCTGCATGCTTAGATCTATTATTGTTTATTTTTTGTTTTTGTAATATGTAGTATTGAACTATGCCGTTCAATACTACATATTACAAGTCAAAATCGGCAAAAAATGTCCATCCCGATCAGGTGCTATCATAGATATCTTATATACACTAGATAGCGCATCTCTTTTAGTAAAATTGAAGCCAAGAATATTCCAGCGGTTATCCCCATTTGAATAGATGGCGGCCATGTTGGTCGTTCCCACTTGCTAATAAACGCTTAAAAACAACAATAACTTTCATCATTT